GCGGCGCCCAGCTGATGCCGGTACCGGGCCGCGGCATAAAAAAGGTTGGGGACCACTGCTCTAGAGGGTGTGTATGTGTGTAAAAACATTCCAGAAGGCATCTGCAACTGTGTAGTTGCAGTGCCCCCTTTGTACATGGATGCAGCATTAAAAGTAGGGGGTTGGCCTCGGATTGCACAGTTGCAGATCCTCTTTGATGTTTTCGACTTACAGATTTCCACAAGAAAGCGGGTCAAGGAAATTGAAGCTAGCTCTCAGTCCCACAGTCCAAGAAAACACAATTGTTGCTCCTGCGGCTGGCTCTGGTTCCGAAGAGAGCGGCTTTATATTTAAGGAGAGAATGGATGAAACCCGATCCCTTAACTAATTTTCTCAGCCTCTCCACGGACAAAGAGTCTGCCATGCCAAGCTGTTATTTATTTATTTATTTCCAAGGCTGCAAAGAGTGGCCACCTTATCTCTTGTGTCAAATGCCATTAAAGCCGAATGCTGCGGAAAGCGCTAGAAGAGACAGATGCTGGTAATAATGATGAACGGATCATTATTTACAGAGACTCCAATGAGGTTTTGGTTATTTATGACCCTTGAGAAAGCCAGGAATGGTAGGTTATTGGGGAAGTCAATCATAACCACGTAGGAGCTTGTTACGTTATTTAATAGTCTCTTCCTCTGGCGTGCGCACATATGGAAGACGTGCTTCCCGTAACCTTCAGATCTGCCAAGTCTTTCTGTATCTGTCCTATTTATTGCTCCACCGTGAGTCAATTCAGAACATGACCTCAGAGCTTTACCTGTTGCTAGCTTGCCTAGAATGTAGAATCATAGGGTTGCAAGGGACTTCAGAGGTCTCCTAATCCAACACACACACCCTGCTCAAGGCGTACTAACCCAGTCAAATGGTTCTCCAGCCTCTTCTTGAAAACCTCCAGTGATGGAGTACCCATAACGTCTGAAGGCAAGCCATGCCACTGATTCATTGTCAAGAAATTCCTCTTTAGCTCCAGGTTGGATCTCTCTTGAATGATCTGCCACCAGTTGCTTCTCATCCTGCCTTCAGATACTTTGGAGAAGAGGCCAATCCACTCTTCTTCTAACAATTTTTATTGACTGTTTCCTAGTTTGATTCAATTGTTCATTATACTTTACGACTATTATGTTGTACCCGATGATTCTTGAGTCTTGACAAATGTATCTTTTCTTTTATGTACACTGAGAGCATTTGCACCAAGACAAATTCCTTGTGTGGCCAATCACACGTCCAATAAACCTATTCTATTCTGTTCTGTTCTGTTCTATTCTATTCTATTGTATTTCATTTCTATTCCTATTTTTATTCCTATTGTACCCTATGTCTATCATTAAGTGTTGTACCTTATGATTCTTCACTCTTGGCGAATGTATCTTTTCTTTTATGTACACTGAGAGCATTTGCACCAAGACAAATTCCTTTTGTATCCAATCACACTTGGCCAATAAAGAATTCTATTCTATTCTATTCTATTCTATTCTATTCTATTCTATTCTATTCTATTCTTATTCCTTATTCCATTCCATTCCATTCCATTCCATTCTATTCTATTCTATTCTATTCTATTCTTATTCCTTATTCTGTTCTGTTCTATTCTATTCTATTCTATTCTATTCTATTCTATTCTTCTTCCTATGTTGGGCCATGCCACAACCTGTTGCCATCTCATGCTTATGGTTGGGACTCCAGATATCCAGGATATTCTCATTCCTCCTTTGGCTTTTCCCAAATTCCCTTCCTGTCTCATGCTCAGGCGTTGTGTGAATTTCTACTTCACATTTGATGCAAATGCAGCTACTGTGATTTGTAAACCAAATTTTATGTTTAATGGGTTGTGGGAATTCTCACAGGGTTGGTGTATTCAGAAAACCATTGCCACATAAATCAGAGCTTAATTCTGGATAAGCCCATATTCCAGGTTCCATGGCCACATGGCATTCTTCCTCCACATTGGTTCTGGAGGGCACACCAGGTAGGCAAAAAATAGAGGGGGGATAGGTGATCTATCAGATAACCAGGACCTATGCCCTGAAAGCTTTGTAGGTGACAGGTAGTATCTTGAATTGTACCCAGAAGCCAACTGGAAATCAATGTAGATTGCATGGGCACAACAAGAAGTGACCATCACTACTCACACCACTGCATTTTGAGCCAGCTGTGACTTCTGGGTGGTTTTCGAGGGCAACCCCATGTAGACCATGTTGCAATAGTCCCATCATGAGGTGACCATCGATAGAAGAGAAGATATGTAGCTCAGGGTTGAATTGTGGGGTTCTTGGTACTCTCTGAGCAAGCAAACAACAGAGGCCAGAAAGTACCAAGGACTTCTTGGCGGCCATTATCTCTAGACTACACCCATGTGGTTTCTACTTGACCATTAAAGCAGAATGAAGTGTGTCATTGCCATGTCAGACTCTGCTAGCTGATGGAAGAGTGTAGGACAACAATGTCCTCCATGGGTTAGTTAAGAAAACAAATGCAGAACTGGAGATGCAATTTCTTACAGTGAAACATTGAGCTCTTGACATAATGAGACCAATTCTAGTGTCTTCCTAACATGACTGGCTTTGGCTCCTTTTGAAGATCCAGAGGTCCTCTGGCTGGACAATGCCTCTGATCCTCACTTCTAGGGCAGGCCTGGTCATCAAAGCCACCCCACCCCCAGTTTACTTCCAGGTGGTTCTGATCATTGCATTTTTTCTGTAACTCCGACTAATGAGAGGTGGCTTGTTTTTAGAAGACAGGAAGCTCTTTGTAGGCATGTTGGGGAAGCAACAAAGCGAAGACGACGTCCGGCGACTCTTCGAACCCTTCGGACAGATTGAAGAATGCACCATCCTCCGAGGCCCCGATGGAGCCAGTAAAGGTGAGGGGGGCAGATGAAATGGGAGGGTGGGTCTAAAATGGAAAGAAGGCAGGAGAGGTAGGATCCATATGTATGTCAACTAGGAGTCTACATGGCAGACACTAGGCAGGGAGGACCAATCTAGAAGGGTTGATGGGTATTGATGGGATGTCTAAAGAAGCATCCAACTTGGATCCATCTGATCTACTGTGTCTAATCCATTTATGGATTGAACCCCATTTCTGGGTTTTCATGATACACGGGACCACTGAACAGCCAACGTTGGTTGCTCGGCCTTTCGTTCAAACCGAATTGAAACCTGAACGGAGTTGAACTGAATCGAACTGAGTTCTTTCTCTGCCTCTAGGATGTGCCTTTGTCAAATATGGAAGCCATGCAGAAGCTCAAGCCGCCATTAGCACTCTCCATGGGAGTCAGACCATGCCGGTAAGTGTGGGCCAAAGCCTACATCCAGAGAGAGGAACACAGTAGTGTACAACTTCATGCACTTGGAAGGGAAAGGGCCAAAGGCATTGTTACCCACTGTGCAATACCGATAGTTCTTGACGGGACCAGAACTTCCTTAGTTCAACAAGACAGTTGGCAGTCCCTTAATCTACCTCTCCTTCCTTCCTTCCTTCCTTCCCTCCCCTCTACCTCTACCTCTTTTCTTCCATCCTCTCACCCTCCCTCTACATTTACATACTTCCTTCCTTCCTTCTTTTCTTGTCCTCACGTTCCCTCTCTCACCCAAACACACATTTTCTCCCCCTTTGTTCCATCGGCTGCTAATTTATCATCTCGATGATTGGATCAGATTCTTGGGGATCAAATCACTTGTTGCAAAAAATAACTCTTTGCTGTTTATTCTGATCAGCAGCTGTGTTCTCCAAGCAGGTGTCAGGAGGTAATTGAATCACCGGCTGGAGAAAACTGTCATTTAATTAACAATGAAGGTCATAGTTCTAAATGAGAGTGAGAGGGGAAAGGAGGGAGCAGGGAAGCCCCAGGAGCCGTGGTGATTGTAGAACAGGATTGAAATGATCAGCAGTTACAAGGAGGTTGGGCTGACAGTGAGCTCCAACCACCCCAGAAGAGTTTGGAGGGAGGAGGGGCAGAAGAAAAGAGGTAGAGGGGAAGGAAGGAAGTAAATGGAGGAAGGGAGGGAGGGTGGAAGGACAGAAGAAAAAAAGGAACAAAACAAATAGAGGTGGAGAGGGAGGAAGGGAGGAAGGAAGGAAAGGAAGGAAGGAGGAAGGAAGGAAGGAAGGAAGGAAGGAAGGAAGGAAGGAAGGAAGGAAGGAAGGAAGGAAGGAAAAAGAAGGAAGGAGGGAAGAAGGAAGGAAGGAAGGAAAAAGGAAGGAAGGAAGGAAGGAAGGAAGGAAGGAAGGAAGGAAGGAAGGAAGGAAGGAAGGAAGGAAGGAAAGAAGGTAGGTAGATTGGAGGGAGGGAGGGAGGGAGGGAGGGAAGAAGGAAGGAAGGAGGGAAGAAGGAAGGAGGGAGGAAGGAAGGGAAGAAGGAAGGAGGGAGGGAGGGAAGGAAGGAAAAGGAGGGAGGGAGGAAAGGAGGAAGGAAGCAAGGAAGGAAGGAAGGAAAAAGAAGGAAGGAGGGAAGGAAGGTAGGTAGGATGAAGAAGGAGGGAGGGAAGGAAGGAAAAGGAGGGAGGGAGGAAAGGAAAGGAAAGGGAGGAAGGAAAAAGAAGGAAGGTAGGTAGGAAGGAGGGAGGAAGGGAAGGAAGGAAGGAAGAAAGGAAGGAAGGAAGGAAAAAGAAGGAAGGAGGGAGGGAGGGAAGAAGGAGGGAGGAAGGGAAGGAAGGAAAAGGAGGGAGGGAGGGAAGGGAAGGGAGGAAGGGAAGGTGGAAGGAAAGCTTCATCTATTGACTGTTGACTGTTGCCATCAAAAGGAGAAGACAAATTTCCAAAGGCACAAAAAAAAACCTCCGTTCCAAAATCACCCATTCTTCTTAGAGGACCCCATCCCAAAGCTGAAATGCCCAAGCATCTTCTGAGTGACCTGAAGATTATAACCCCCAATTCTAAGGTGGTAGAAAGTGGGGAACTGTGAAATACATGACCAAAGCATAATCAGGATCATTGTTAGTCATGAAACTGAAGTGTGTGTGTGTGTGTATGTGTATGTATATATAATTTTTTTTAAAAATCAATCCTGGCCTTGGGGAAAAATAGCACGCTTGGATCCTGGGATTAAAAATGCATTTCGGGAAATGGTCACTGCAAGGATTAGCACGTTTATCTCCCAAGCTTCTCTCAGCCCCCCAAACAGACTGTGGCTGTTTCATTACAGGGACAAAATCAATCCCGTTTCATGTAAATAAAGATAAGGGTTGTTTTCTTAAATAAGGCTAGTTAGCTGGAACCCATGGAGAGTCAATTCCGGTTGAGATAGCAGAAGTCTCCCATCAATTGTTTCCATGGACACCGCGGGCAGAATACCTCAGAATCCCGGGCCTTTTTGCAAATGTCAGATCCGTGGCGGGGTGGACTAGTCTATTATGGGCAGTAGAATAGGGTGACCAGGGATGGTTTAGGACAGGTGTTTTCGAGTTGATGGAAAGGAGTGCTGGCTAGGCGAGAGTTGCTTTTGGCGGGGTTAGCTGAGCGATGGTAGGTCTAGAAGTCTCTCTTGATAGAGGCAGCCCATTTTTTTTTCAGTAAAATCTGGGTGAAAAAAAAAAGGACCAAGGGCAATATGATAGCAGTGTTGCAATATTTGAGGGTCTGCCCCAAAGAAGAGGGGAGGGGGTCAACCTATTTTTACAAAGCACCTGAAGGCAGGACAAGAGACAACAGATGGAAATTAAACAAGGAGAGAAGCAACCTGGAATTAAGGAGAAATTTATTGACAGCTAGAACAATTAATCAGCAGAACGACTTGTCTCCAGAAGTTGTGGTGCTCCATCATTTTTAAGCAGGGGTGGGATTCAAATTTTTTAACAACTGGTTCTGTGGGTGTGGCTTAGTTGATGGGTGTGGCTTGGTGGTCATGTGACTGGCTGGACATGGCCAACTCAACATTGAAGCATGCATCTCCTCGCCTGGCTTCTCATGACTGTGGGGATGCTGCAGCAGTTGTAAGTGTGAAAAGGGATCATAAGTCACTTTTTTCAGTGCCATTGTAACTTTGAATGGTCACTCTACACAAGCAAAGTACCAGCAAAGCAGGGGGGAAAAAACTCCAGAGAGGTTCCTGAGACAGGAAATTTAGTCCTGCCAAGAATGTAATAAGGGTTAACGGAGAGGCAGTTTCTGTAAGCAACACCAGAATGTTTCCTTCCTGCCTTCCTTACAGGATTAGGCCAGTAAAAATTTCTTCTAACAACCGGTTCTCCGAACTGCTTAGAATGTTAACAACTGGTTCTAGCGAATAGGTGCGAACTGGTAGAATCCCATCCCTGCTTTTAAGAAGAGACTGGACAGCCACTTGTCTGGAGTGGTGCAGTCTCCTGTTTGAGCAGGGGGTTAGATTAGAAGATCCCTTCCAACTCTGTTGCTCTTCTGTTATTCTAATTCATTGGCTAGACGTCCACCAGCCCAATGGCTTTGACCCCCCCAATGGAAGCAAAAACCTGAATATGAGCGTTAAGTCATTTCATCCAGGGATAAGTAAGTCTACATGTTTACACAGGGCTCTGTAAATTGAAGAGGTGGGTCAGGAAAAGCTGGCCCGCTCTGGATCTGCACATTAAACCACAGTGTGGTTTGTTTACCAGTAAACCAGCTTGCACAAGAGCTTAGTATGATGTAGCAACTGAGACGCGGTGTATTTACTTCATGCTTTTATTATAAGCCCCACTTTGGGTCGCCGTTTTCACAGGGCGGTGAAAAACAGGGAGCCGAAACGATCCACTTCAACTGTTGTGCTCAGTGAATGCGGTATTTTTCAGGAAAAGACAAGAGTAGAATTGTAGGTTCAAGAACTTAAAGCCCTGTTCAAGGAAGGCAGTTTGGTCACCGCGATATTAAAAAAAGAGGAAGTGGAGACTCTAGAAAGAGTGCAGAGAAAAGCAACACAGATGATTAGGGGGCTGGAGGCTAAAACACATAAAGAACGGTTGCTAGAATTGGGTAGGTCTAGTTTAATCAAAAGAAGGATTAAGGGGAGACAGGATAGCAGCCTTCCAATATCTCAGCGGCTGCCCCAAAGAAGAGGGAGTCAAGCTATTCTCCAAAACACCTGAGGGCAGGACAAGAAGCAATGGATGGAAACTAATCAAGGAGAGAGGCAATCTGGAACTAAGGAGAAATTTCCTGACTGTTAGAACAATTAACCAATGGAATGACTTGCCTCTAGAAGTTCCAATTGCTCCAACACTGGAAGTTTTTAAGAAGAGATTGGACAACATTTATTTGAAATGGTCTAGGGCTTCCTGCCTGAGCAGGGGGTTGGACTAGAAGACCTCCAAGGTACCTTCCAACTTTATTATTCTGCTAGTTTAGAACATGGGTGAAATTTGCTCCAAGTAGCCCTCAACATACAACCACCATTTCTACTGTATAGCGCAGTGTTGGTGCGGTGTCAGGGGTTTTCAGTTCGATGTGTGGAGTGTGAAGGATGCGTGTTTGTGTTTATTTTCATGGTCATGATGTGCACTGAAGATGGTGTTTCATTTCATTGTATGAGGTGCAATGACAAGAAAGTAAACGAACTCACCATTGGAATCAGAATTTCTATCGCTAAACAAGGTGGTTGTTAAGATATTTTTCAACCCTCTTTACCACGGTGGTTAAGCAAATCACGGCAGTGGTTAGATGACTCGTGGGGTGGCTCCCCCCCACTGCTTATCGGGCATTGGCTAGGAAGGTCACAAAGCGTTGATCCCATGACCCTGGGGACATTGCAACTGTCCTAAACCCATGTTGGTTGCCCAGAGCCCAAATTCTGATCGCGTAACCATGAGGCATGCTGGGACAGTTGTAAGTGCAAGGATCAGTAATCAAATCACTTTTTTCAGTGCCGTGGTGACTTCGAACGGTCGCTGAATGAGTGGTTGTAAGTCAAGAACTACCTCTAGTACAGAGGTCTCCAAACTTGGCAACTTCAAGACTTGTAGACGTCAACTCCCAGAATTCTGGGAGTTGACGTCTACAAGTCTTGAAGTTGCCAAGTTTGGAGGCCTCTGCTCTAGCACAGTGGTCGCCAACCGGTGGGCCGGGGACCACTGGTGGTCCACAAGAAAATTTTGGTGGTCAGTAGAGAAATGTCACCCCCCAAAGCAATTAATCCAGGCTGTGCAAAAACACAAGGCTGAGCTGCCCACATGGCCCATGGGAACACAAGGCTTGCATCACTTGCATTGTGAACAACACGTAGTGAGGGGAGGAGGGAAAGGGTGGAGGGAGGGAACTTTCCCTCCTCGCCCCATGCGCCTGGCCTGGCCACTGGGCTACTTCTTTCCGCTTCTTTCTTCTTCTGCTTTTGACTGCATGCAAGGAAAGCAGCCAAAGTCTTTCTTTCTCTCCCCCAAACTCCATCAGAAATGAGTCTTTGGGACCCTGCAAGGCCTCCTGCTCCAAGAGGCTGCGCCAGCAAAGACTCATTTCTGGCGGAGTTTGGGGGAGAGAAAGAAAGACTTCTGCTGCTTCTGCTGCTTTCCTTGCATGAAGCCAAAAGTCTCTCTCTCCCTCCCTCCCTCTGAGAACAGAGCTGGAGGTGGTGTCCTGTGATCCCAAATAAAGAATGATTGATCAGTAGGAAAACGGGGTGGGGAATTTTCCTGCAGGCATTTTTGGGGGGATTTTCCCAGGGTCTCTCGTCCACGGGATTTAAAATGATGAGTTTGGTGGTCCCTGCGGTCCAAAAGGTTGGCGACTCCTGCTCTAGCAGATACCAAAGGGAAGGGAAACTCCCAAATAAAGGTCCCGCCCTGATCTTCAACATTGCTCCTCTCTGTTGCAACTGCCTTTTCCCCGTAAGATTCGCTTGCGAGACTCCTCCATTCAAACCAACACACAAGTGCCGGATACAATCTGCCCCACTCTCTCTGTTTCTGTCTCTGCTTCTCTCTTCCCTCTGCTAGGGTGCATCCTCCAGTTTAGTTGTGAAGTTTGCCGACACAGACAAGGAGCGAACTCTGCGGCGGATGCATCAAATGGCGGGACAGCTGGGCATCTTCAATCCCATGACGATCCAGTTTGGAGCCTACGGAGCCTACACACAAGCGGTAGGAGATGCTGGATGCCCTGACCATAGGGCACCATTATTTCCCCATCGAGGAACATTTGGACAAGCCAGAAGGGGCTAGTTGGGTGAGGAATGACCCAAGGCTCCCTGGTTCTCCGTTCTTTCTCCTTGACCTGAAGGGAGACACCATTTGGCCGTAGATGATTTGGGCTAAGGGTGGAAAAGCTAAGCAGGACAGCTGTCATATAGGACGGTGATGGCTAACCTATTTGTTGTCACATGCCGAAAGTGCACACCTATTCATGTGAAAGCATGTGCGTGTGCCTGCATTCCTAATGCAATGCATGTGCAACCCCTTCCATTTGCCACGCCCCCCTGCTCATGCGGGCACGATCCCCTCCCCTGCTCCACTTTTGGGCCTAGCAGTGTTCTGACCCACGCCCTTTTCCAACAAATCAAACACAATCCAAAAGGAACAGAAACCTTGTAATGCTTTTACCAAATAATTAGCTGTGATAAACACAAGCCTTGCCAAACTGTGTGAGACTTGCCAAAAGATAACAGACAAGAAATAATTTGCAAAATAAGAATCTTCAAATACAAACTCAGGATACTGGAATGTCCACGAGGCTGGAGAGTCAAAACGTCTTTGCCTTCTGCAAAGTATATTTGTTTCACAGCTGGCTTTTATTTTCTTGAAGGAGGGGCCATTACCTTGCAGCCTTACTCCCGAGTCGCCCATGCTGTTGTAGCTGCTCTTTCCTCCGAGCAATCCTACACACATGCGCACTTAGCACAGGCTCCTCGGGAACCTCCTCATCGCTGCTGCCAGCCCCCACAATCTCTGAAGGCAGCAGTCCACTCCCTGATGGTCCTGGCCCCTCATCTGAGTCCTCGCTCTCCTCAGCCATCCGCACCTGCTGCCAGCTAACCACAACAAGTAGGCCTCCCTGCAGCCTCCTGGGAGTGGCCCATTTTTGCTCTCAGGAAGCCGCAGGGAGGCCTACTATGCTCAAAATGGAGAGTGTGGAGGGCCGTGCTACACCCCCCGGCACTCCACCTGCCCACCGTGCATGTGCATGCAATCCCCCTCCACCCACCCCTGCACATGTGCACACATCTCCTCTGCATGTGTGGCAGAGACCTGAAAATCAGCTAGCCGGTGGGAGGCACACATGCATGTGTGGTGGAGCTGAGCTGGGGTGACGGCTCGCAAGCCCGCAGAGAGGGCTCTGTATGCCTCCTGTGGCACGTGTGCCATAGGTTCGCCATCACGGGTATAGGAGATTCCCCCAAACCTACCACCTCAGCTGGAAGGAGATTTTCATCATCAGAGATGCCATACATCCTTTCTGGAGACGACAATGGCGAGCACTGCCCTCCACTGGCCAATGCAAGTTGCTGCATTGCTTACTGGGAGGAGACAAACATGGATGGTCTTCTCCAGGAGATAGAACAAGCAGTATGTGCGTTGATACATAAAAAGGCCAGAAAAGTTGGTTCAAATCTCACCTCAGCTGTGATGGTTTTAGAAGGAAAGGCACAAAAATTAGATAGCCTTCATCTGTTCTCCACTCCATCCCCATCAGCCCAAGACAGCTGTGATGGCTGAGAAACCAAGATGCCAGAAGTTCTGGAATATCTGGAGGAACACTGGTTCTCCATCCTAGTCTTAGCATCCTTAATTGGCCAGGATGGACTTTCTTTACATAGCTCACTGTGAGGGTTGGTGAAGGAAGTTATCCCATAGGTGCTTTTCAAAAGGAAGCTAGACTTCCTTAGTTCTTCCCTTGAAAGCATTTCGCTTCTCACCCAAGAAGCTTCTTCCGTAGAACTGTAGAAGGTTCTTGGATGAGAAGCGACATGTTGTCAAGAAAAAAAATGAAGAAAGTTCATCTGCCTTTCAAAAAGCACCTTTGGGACACCCATGACCTGGATGATTGAGAATCTCCATAGATGTCAATGAAGGAAGCCATATCAAAGCTGTTGTCCATCTGAAGGCATCATTTCAGTGTCTCTTGATGTTTGTCTTCACAGGCCTAGAACTACCTCAAGAAGGCCAAAAAGGCCAGTCTCCATCTCGGGGTGGGAGAACGTTCCTTGCAGGTTGTCCCTCACTAGAAGAAGAAGATCAATCTTCACCAGTGAAGTCCAAGCTAACGTTGCCCTTCTTCTCCTCTTCCTTTTCTCCTGTCCTCCATTTTCTTTCTCTGGCTGTCCTCCTTCCCTCCTCACTCCCCACGTGTGTCCTTCTTTCCTTAAGATAATGCAGCAGCAGGCAGCACTCATGGCTGCCGCACAAGGAAGTTGTCTCAACCCCATGGCAGCCATTGCGGCAGCACAGATGCAGCAGATGGCCGCTTTCAACGTGAGCGGCTTGGTGGCAGCTCCTATGACACCCTCGTCAGGTATGAGCCTTCCTGCACGGTCTTCTTGGGGTAGCCAGGAGGAAGAGCCAGGTGGAAGTCCAATAAGCTTCAGAGCTTCCTCCACAGTAGATATCCTACATCAGCATCTTCCCATCAGGGACGTTGAGTGCCCAAGGTGGATTTCTCTGGCCCTTTAGCCTCCAGTGAAGCTCTCTTGTTTAATTTTAGCAATAGCACTTATATACCGCTTTACAGTGCTTTACATCCCTCTCTGAGTGGTTTACGGAGTCAACCTCTTGCCCCCCAACAATCTGGGTCCTCCTTTTACCCACTTTGGAAGGACGGAAGGCTGAGTCAACCTTGAGCCACATCAGAGTGGCAGAGTTTGCCTGCTGCATTGTAACCATTGGAAGGGAAGGGAAGGGAAGGGAAGGGAAGGGAAGGGAAGGGAAGGGAAGGAAGGAAGGAAGGAAGGAAGGAAGGAAGGAAGGAAGGAAGGAAGGAAGGAATAGCAATAGCACTTAGACTTATATACCGCTTTACTGCCCTTTTTAAGTGGTTTGCAGAGTCAGCCTCTTGCCCCCAACCATCTGGGTCCTCATTTCACCAATTTCAGAAGGATGGAAGTCTGAGTCAACCTTGAGCCAGTCAGGATGGAACTGCTGGACAGAGTTAGCCTGCGATGCTGCCTTCTAACCATTGTGCACCATGGAAGGGTGGGAGGGAGGATAGAGAGAGAAAAGGAAGGGCAATAGCATGTAGACTTATATACCGCTTCACAGTGCTCTACAGCCCTCTCGAAGCATTTTACAGAGTCAGCATATTTTCCCCCAACAAACTGGGTCCTCATTTTACCCACCTCGGAAGGATGGAAGGATGAGTCAACCTTGAGCCGGTCAGGATCGAACTGCTGGCAGTTGGCAGAATTAGCCTGCAATACTGCATTCTAACCATTGCACACCATGGATGGATGGATGGATGGATGGATGGATGGATGGATGGATGGAAGGAAGGAAGGAAGGAAGGAAGGAAGGAAGGAAGGAAGGAAGGA